TTGGAAGCGAAGACATGAGATCCTGGAAGCCTCGTTTACCTATTCTTCATTTTCTTTTCAGCCTTAATGAGTCCCATGGATATAAATTCATGGCACGAAACAGAATTTTTTCTATTGATATTAATTTTCCACGTGCACATGTTTTTTTTCTTCTGTGAAACTATGCTTATGATGAAATCCCTAACGGCAGCTTTCCAATTCACAAGCAGATTAGAAATTTGGGGTTAGGGAATTTAAGAGGAGAGTAGAGTGAGTAGAATTTGATGGAAGTTTCTACACGGAGTTTTGATTTCCTCTGAATGAATGAATAGATTTACATATAATTGTGGAACCCAGTATTATCCTCCTGGATTTACAGCAAATGTGTAAGACACAAGCTCTGCCCCATGGAGGTGACAGGTGGTTTAGAAAGAGGTTTGTAACTCCGGTGCGGGAGTAGTGAGCATAACATCCAGCACCACACCGCGTGGCAAGGGCCAAAGAGCCATGTGGGTAGAGTGATGTGTGACTGTGTCCCAGCAACCAGGGAGAAGGGTCTTCTCTCCTTGTGGACGAGAGAGCAGAGTGGGTGGGGACAGAGTCCACAAGTGGCCTGCTCTGTTTGGGGGAAGGTCAGAAAGGCACCTGCATCCTCTCCCAGCTCAGCCTTTCTGTGACCTCGAGGTGTAGATCTCAGCGAATCAGACCACATCCACCACCAGCTGGAATAATCAAACCATTCACTTGACAGAGCTACGGTCTACGTCCCTGAACGTGTTCTAAATGGTCACGCGCTACAAGCCGAGCTGCTGGGCTGGAAGGCTGCGGCAAACACCTCTCTTCCTTTATGGAACATTTCTACAGGCCTTGCCATAAATGAGATTCTTCTTAGCTTCCGCTCCTTCCCCTGTTTTCGCCAAGGGAACCTTTTCGCGGGAGGTATTCTCTTCCCCAACTCTCCCAGGGCCCAGGTGAACTGAGTCAGGGACTCGGCATGGACACAAGAGGGCAGCAAATAACACGAGACTCTTCGAAGCCAGAAAACACATTTTTTGAAGTCCTCTGATTCGGTGGCACAGACGCCCCACCATCCCAAAGCAGGTGAGCCATCATGCTGCCTGCCGGGTACAAGACACATGTCAGAAGGTCAGTACACAAAGGAGTAGGAGCTACTCTGATGTGGCGTGGGGTTACAGCAGCACAAGGTTACAGACGCCCAGAAGCAGCCTGTTGTTAACAGTCCTGTGATATGGGGACAGAGCTCGGACACTGAGAAAAAGACATTTTCTTTTCCCTTTAGGGCCAGACTTTTCCTCGAGCAGTAACTGGAACACAGGAAATGCACGGCGTGTTGAGTGAGTGAGGGAGAAGCGTGTCCGCACCACGCCCAATGAACTGCTCTCCGAAGGCAGAGTGAAGCCGAAACACATTGGTTGCTTGGGCTGGACGGGTTAGAAGAGGCAATGCAGCAATATTTAATGCTTTTCAAGACCTCTCTCTGTTTCAGCGTTTGCCCTGGTATCCGGCCCGCGTTAGAAAGACCATTTCCCTCGTGGAGAGTCTCAGCGGCCACAGATAGGCCCAGACTTCCCATGGGGACATTTTTGACCGTTTGTTTTCCGTTTGGCAACAGGTTCACCGGTAATGTCGAGTTACTACGGGGTCAGAAGATCGTTCCTCTCTGACTCAGACTTCCACAACACCAGACAGCTTGCAAACGAGGTCTGCAGCTCAGGCCCAGCGGCCAAGCCCTTTGCCTGCGAGGCCCCCACGGGGCAGAGCCACCAGGGCCTCCTGGATTCCTACTTCCCAGAGCCCTACGGAGACCACCGGCCCCCCGGCCTGACCCCCAACACCGGCTCTCTGTTTGGCGCCTCGCCCCTGCCGCCACTCCTGCCGCCACCCTTCGCTGGGGACCCCAGCACGCACTTCGTGCTTGTGAGTATGCCCGTGGTCACGGTTCGGGAGCAAGGCGAGGCCCGGGATCGCGCTCACCTGGCCAGGCCCTGCGCCTGCGAACCGGGTGGAAGCAAGCTCTGGCTCGCCCTGCGCACCCCTGAGGCTGCTGGGCCAGGACGCGCTCCGAGGGGCCTCCCTCAAAGGTCCACACCCACCGTGATGGCGAGCGGGGCCATCCTGGGGCCAGGGAAGGGACGACCACACCGCAGGATCTCTACCCACTTTGTCAGCGCTCTGCTAATCTTGCCAGATGCTCGCCCATCTTCCTCCCGCACACAAGGAAAGAGCACTGAGGTCCCGTCTCCCACAGACCAGGCCGTACCCCGTCAGGGTGGCACATCAGGCCCTTCTTCCTCCCAGCCCCCAGGCCGCCCCTCCCACGACCTTTCCACCCTATAGAATCTGGTCTCCCTCAGTCCTAGCAGAGGTGAGTTCACAGAGATCTGAAGAATACTAACACCCCTCTTAGAGAAAGCTGCGAAGTCTTCAACTACAGGAATGAGTCTCTAAAAATGGGACTAAAGGGGGGAGGGGGTAACTAACACGATCACGGAGTACCTGCTCCAAGCAGGAGCCTCCGTGTGCCTCTGTTCCTTGAACACTTGCAACAGCTCCGGATAGACTTACTGAAGCCCCATTTTACAGATGAACAAAGTGAGGTACTCAAAGTCAGGAACGGAGTAACGGGCACGGTCAGGGACTGAACCCAAACCTTTCTAGCTCCAAGCCTACGGAAGCTTCTACCTCTTGGCTCACGGAGGGCAAAAGCCCACTACATGCTTCAGAGACCCCCTCCCTCGTGGAGGAGCCGGAGCTGCCGTCGCCAGGGTGGAACGGGCATTAGGAGCCCATGTATTGTGAGGCTCAAAAGGAATGCAAGACATGGAATGTTGGAAATGGTAAAATGCTGTATAAATGTCCATTCTGTTGTTCTCCCATTTTACTCATTTAATGTTTTCTGGGAAAAGGGACTGTAATAGATCTAGGGGGTCCGGTGCTAGAGTCAGACACTGCTGGTGTCAAACCCCAGAGGGGAGAGCTGCCTGGTAAGGAGGCTGGAACAGCAGAGAGGGGACACCGAGTCCGCCCTGGAAGCTGCGTCTGCCAGCAGCCTGTGTTGGTGAGGAAGTCTGTCTGCATCCGAGTGTCCCCTGGTGACTAACCCCAGGCACCTTTCCATTCTCCTCAGAGGGACTCGTGGGAGCAAACACTGCCCGATGGTCTCAGCCAGCCCGACCCCGTACCCACCGACACCCAGCAGACCCTGTCGCCCAGCGTGAGTTGCCTCTCCCAGCTGGAGTCGGGGAGCGCCACCCCGCACAGGAGCTCCAGCTGGGGGGCCCCCCTGGCCGGGGCTCAGCCCTACTCACTGCACGCGCTAGAGGATCTGTACCACGTGCCGGGGTACCCCACGCCACCCCCCTATCCCTTCACCCCTCTCATGACCATGTCCAACGACCTACCACACAAGGTGGTGCCCCTCTCCCCGGATGAGGGGGCAGACACGTCTGGCCTTCAGGACCCTTCTTCATGGACCAAGGAAGACGGGAGCATGGCCTGGGGGTCCTACGAATGCCGTAGAGCTTACTGAGGCGTGTGCCACGGGACTCCGGCCGTGCTGGCCTCTGAGCTGGCTTCTGGATTTGGCAGATTGTTTTCAGGGTCTTTCCAGCTCGTTTGGAACTGGATGTCCAGAACAGGCCATCGTGCCACCCTTTGTAGAGGGACCGCAGCATTTATTCGTAATCCTCCCTCCCACAGCCCCACTGAAATACAGCCTCACGTTAATTCAGGATATCAGGGACTATATTCTAGTGAGACACAGGCTACGCGTGTGGCGTTGGAACTGTAGTAACCCATCACATTTCCGAATTTCTGTTACCTTTGAAATATCATCATTAGCACTCATATTTTTCTCAAATTACATTAAAAAGTTTGTGTAGATCATGAAATAAACTGTTCAGTTTTTCTTAGTTATGAACTAAGTGTGTTCTATAGTAAGAGAGAAAGCATAGGACATAATATAGATTAGGGCACATATAACAAAACTCATTTTATGCCATGTGATTTTTAAAGAGGAAAGTATTGGGGCACCTGGGTGGCTCAATCAGTTGAGCAACTAACTCTTGATTTTGGCTCAGGTAGTGATCTCAAGGTCATGGAATCGAGCCCCACATCAGGCTCTGTACTCAGTTCTCTCCCTCCTACTCTGCCCCTCCCCCCTTTCTAAATAAATAAATGATAATAAATAAATGATAAATAATAAATAATCTTCTTTTAAAATTTTTAAAGAGAAAAATATTATATACATTTCTTCCTTAGTGACTTATGAAGGCCCTGTAAAAATATAGCACCACATACAAATGTTTTATTGTCTTTAAAACAGGATGAGGGCAGGAGACTATGGCTTCATAAATACATAGCTTTGATTCTGCCCTAAAGTCTGGGATGTCCAAAAATGAGTCTCATCCAAAAAATGATATGAGCCCAAAACTTTCTTTGATCCGTGATAGCCTTAATCATGCCAGACATTGTTTCTCTGGTGGAAAAACCTATAGTCATCAGAGTGGATTCATAAAATGGATAGTCTGTAATGAAGTAAGAATAAATAAGGAAAATAGTGAGAGCAGAACTGGGCTGCTGGCAAGAAACAGCAGACCACAAAACGCCAAGACGTACAGGGGCCTTGGAGCAGGACATATGGCCAGGTGTGCACCAACAGCATGATACACAACACATACCATTTGAAGGAAGACCTTGCTGATGGCTCATTGGTCCAAAATGTACAGCTCTTATCATATATAAATGAAGAAATACATCTGACGCCTCCCTCTGTCTCATGTAAGTTTGATCGGGGTACATTCCTTCACAAAGTAATTCCCATCAAGCCATGGGCCTGGCTGCAGGCCAAGCCAGTCATAAAAGCCTCACACACAATCTGACTTCGCAAAGTGTGAGTCGAGGCCCACAGGTCCCACCCCCACTCCTTCTATTACTTTCCTGACACCTTCCTTTCTATATTCTCTTATCACATTTTCCTGGCCCCAACACCTTTTTCTTCCATCTCTTGGGGGCCCTTTGCTCTCATTTCCACTGGTTGTCTAAAGCCACTCAATACAGTTTCCATCACACCCTCTGTTACAGTGTCCCATGCTCTACCATCAAACAAGGACATTAATTCACATTTAGAAGTGACTGATACTCTACCTTCTCCGTGCCTTCATGTCTATTTTCTGGTTAAGCAATTACACTTCCACTTTATGGAGTGCCCACAGAAATGCTGGGTACGGAGCCTCCCACGAGAGAGCATCCCCGAAGGAGCAGGTCAGGAAGGAGCACTGACAGTCCCCACATGCTGGGCTGCCCTCTTCTGGGTCCCCTGCCCCTACTTCCTCCCTCCTGCCACACGGTGTCACAGCCTGATCTTTACTTCTCTCCATATTAGCTCTTCACTAGAAAGGGGCAACTCCTACTGTGGCCAAGAAAGTTGCCCTTTCTTAAGTCCAGTGAGACTTGAGGCCTCAGTCCTGGTCCTGGGATCTTCGGCAGAGCCATTGGTCACCCAGGTCCCTGCACCTGAAAGAAGAGATCAGGGTCCCAAGAGCCATTTTTCCACGTGGGTTGCATACACTTCCTAATAGTTCCAGCCACCTGCTGCTGATCGTTGTTAGAGAGTAGCACACCGCACAATACCAGCGTGTAGACCATCAGACTGTCTTTATTGGCTTTAACTTGGGTTTGGTCGTAAAGCTAAATGTTAGACATGCTCACTTCCCTTGGTCTGTACTTGTCTTCTCACAGATTATGTTCATCTCACAACCTAAGGACACGCTGGCCCTCAGGTAAGGAAAGCTTAGCAGCCAGACCTCAGAATGGAGGGAAATGCAGGAAATGCACTGCCACGCCCCTTCTTCTTGAAGCACCTCAGCCCCTTTCACGATGCTTCGCAAAACTGATTTACAAGAAAGGAGACATACACGGGCCTGTACGGTGTCTAGTACCCATTTCAGACACCTGGTCTAAAGGGGATGGAGGTGTGGGAAATGATGTTAGTAATTCCAAGTAGTAAATGACTTTTAGGCGTTCTAGTTAGTTTGACAATGTGTTCCTATATTATTACATATATTTCGATTTGGTTCTGGTTTACTGTTCTGGGGATTGACAATACTTTGTCAAAAAGTGAAACCAAGCTACAAAATTATGACACGGAAATGAATCCCATTACCCTACCCCATTTCCCACTCGAGTGTGCTCTCTGTCCCTCTGCACGTCGGAGACTTACTGCATCTGGGCACAATAATCCACAATGTCAGCATCAGAAAAAAAAAAAATATATACATCCTCCTCTCCCTCTGCTTCTTTAAACCTGCTATCCTCAAGCTCATAACTTTGCTGGGGAAAGCAGGGAAAATCAGAGAACTCAGGTTCAAAACACTATCTCTTTTAGGTCCTTTAAGGTTGAAAGTAAGCAGCGATGGTGATGGCAAGTTCAAGTCACCCAAGAAAGCTAGCTAGATAATAATGTCAAGAAGAACCAGAAAGTGAATTTTCTCCCTGCAAAAACTGTGATACACAGTCCTCCCCAAAATCACTGGAAACGGACATTAACAGCGTGTAGCTGAGAATGTTTACGTTCCTCTTGTAATGTTATGCAAACTCCAAAGAATGAAAGAAAACCACATCTTTACTTCGTTTGTTTTATAAATGCTCTTACATGAGCAGTATGATTTGCTACAGCTCAGTTAATAATGGGATATAATGGTACTCTTGTGGGAGGGGAGGAAATACTCTAGTACTCTGAAGTACTCGCATTCTCAACATGAAACTCCACAAAGGGAGAAGAATTCCTAACCCTTAAAGTAAAATACACATGTGCCCACGTACAGATGTGTACACACACACTCACGCACACACATAAATATGTATTACTATTTGAGCACCTGGGTGGCTCAGTCAGTTAAGCGTCTGCCTTTGGCTCAGGTCAGGATCCCAGGGTCCTAGGATAGAGCCCTGCATCTGGCTTCCTGTTTCTCCCTCTACCCTTCCTCCTGCTCGTGTTTGTGCTCTCTCAATCTCGCCCTCCCTTTCTCTCTCACACACAAAAATAAAATCTTTTTTAAAAGGAGTATTACTAGCATCTTTGTGTTCCTTTCTTTAATATGTAAATCTAAATAATATATTCACAAGAAATAAAACATCAGTAACCCTTTAAAAACTGAAATGAGGGATGCCTGGGTGGCTCAGTTGGTTGGACGACTGCTTTCGGCTCAGGTCATGATCCCGGTGTCCCAGAATCGAGTCCCGCATCAGGCTCCCAGCTCCACGGGAAGTCTGCTTCTCCCTCTGACCTTCTCCTCACTCATGCTCTCTCTCACTGCCTCTCTTTCAAATAAATAAATAAAATCTTTTAAAAAAATAAAAATAAAAATAAAAATAAAAACTGAAATGACTACAATGGATGGATCCAAGGTTGAAGTCGCCTCAACATTATAGTGATTCTACCAACCTTACACCAAAATCATACTTTCTTTAGGTCCTATCTTTGGGTTCTGTCTCAAGTATCCTTTGTATTAAAAAAACTACACTGTTCGTTTACAGGCCATATTCAGTAAGTACTGACTCTAGAGAGCCTCAATGTGAAATCAGCCACTGTAGCTAAAAAGTGAGTCTCTGACCAGACTCATCCAGCCAGAACTCATGAATGGCTCAGCCATGTGTCCCCAGCACCCAGCTTAGTTAGTGCCCAGCATGTTCTAGGTGCTCAGCAAAATCTTTGTTAAATTGAACTTAAAATTATACCACAAAATAGATTCACTCTTTAGACCCTGACTCTATGGGTGACATCTCTCTGGGACTGATATGTGGGAAAACCCTACCACGTTTAGTATTTCACATTAGACATCGTCTCTGCAAAAGCTGATAGTAGCAGTGGTAATATATTTAAGATGATTGGCTTAGTATTTTTAAATATCTCCAAAAAGGAATACTACTGAACTTCGACGTAGGTTATCTATAACCATATAAAAATGGTTATATATTCATTTAGTAGCTACATGTACTATAATAGGCTGTTAAGAAATCTTACAAATAGAAGATATTCAAAGTTGGGTGTTATCTCTGCTGGAATTAAAACGAATAGGACAAACAGATACGGAGCCAGAATCCCTAAAGATCAGGTTAAAGAAATAATAAGGAAATCTTCTAATATTATCTGTAAATGATAACACGATGTTATCTTTGATCTTTGCTACAGAAATGTCCTCTGCTCTTAACCTCTGATTAATAAGATGTGTGGGTTTGCAATTGGCACTATCATTGTTAGCGTATTACAGGCCAAAAGAGGAGGACAGTAAGAAATCTTCACAAGTTCCAAAGGGAAGAAAACGTGGACAAAACAAATAATATTTAAGAATGAACTCTTCTGCATTAGGAAAACTGATAAATATCCCTACTGACCTTCTTCCTAATGAAATATCTTGAGTGGAATCATCTAAAAGTTTAATGCTCAATAAATTAATTTAGTCTTAAATGAAAGGTCACTCGATTTTCTTTTCTTTCTTAACCTTGGTAATATATTCATAGGCTTTTATCACAGTCATCTTTATATATTTTTGTATGTCTCAAATATTGCACAAGAAAATGTTTTAAGTACAAGGTGAACTTGTCAAGCAGTATCTGACAGTATCTTCCTCATTTGAATGATAAATTATCAAATGCTTCTTCCCTACAGAAGCTTCTTGAGGGAAAGTTAAAACTTCGGATGTTTTATGGGAAGAGACTGAGTTACCACAAATCATTAAACAACCTCCAGCTGTGAGTCTTCCTGGTCATTTTCCTACTGACCAAACATTCACTTTGGGCCCAGGAAGGACTTGCTTCTGCCATGTTTCTGGAACTTGATATTCCCCTCAAGGTTTGGTAACAGTGTCCTAAAGTTAAAATGACAAAGGAACTTTGCATTAATAAAGAGAATTTTAGAGCCGTAGTCAAATTTGGAGGAAATAAACTCCCCCTTTCTCCTTATACTGAAAATCTTTTCATATTCATGAAATCTCCTACTTCGGGGTGGGGGGACATAATGCTCTGCGGTGTCACTTGCGTAGGAAAGCCTGCCCCCAAAATTCAGTTAAATATTCCATTTAAAACTTTCAAAATAAATGTATTCTCTTCCCATTATTCTGGGTGCTCGGTAACTCTAAGAAGGTCAGTGACAAACTAGAGGGTTTCTGAGCTCAGTGGTTCAGAGACCTGAAAAACTATAATAAGTGAAAAATTAGAGAAACTACAGATAATGAGCTTCAAAAAGAAATGGCTCAGGGCAGAGGCGGGCTTGGGCATGACCTCTTTAGGCTCAGCACAGAGCCTGGCCAGAGCAGGTGATCAGTATATGCTGTTAAAAGAGTGAATCAGTGAATGAACCAGACAAACCCATAGTGGAGAAAGAGTGGAATGGAAAGGGGAAGACAGGTATCCCATGTTATTTACAGAGCAGTTGATGGCAGAAGCCAGGATGCTTGATAGCATTCTCAATACATAGTAGTTGCACATTAATACCTCATTGGGTTTTGACTCAATCAGTGGTCATTATATTTAAATGGCAGAATGGGGTCCCTTATGAAGACAGAGCTCCCATTTCCTCCACGGGCCAGGAGCTCAGCCAAGCAGTGGACGGAGCCAGAGGCTAGAATGTTGGGAGAAGAATCGAAGTCTCTCTCACACCTCAAAGGTCCCTTTCAACATCCAAACATCAGGACCCTGTGTTGTGTTTTGAAGCAAATGAGCCTGTTAAGACCTGTTGAAAGCTCATAATATTTTTCTTTTTTTTGTCTTTTATTAAAACCCCAGATTGATTTTCAGAATTTCAGGGCAGACGCCTTGGAGGTGACAGTGCCCTCAGCGAGAGGGAAGAGTCCCTAGTCTGAGAAGCACAAGCTGTAATTAATTACCTTAACGAGAAGCTCACCCTCTCCTCCAGCCGGGCTCCCCTTCAGGGGTTCTGGTGCTCCCCGTCTCTACAGAATCCTTCCACGTCAGTACACCGCCCTGCCTTGGTCTCCTCGCACACCCTGACAGGAATACAAAAAACACTTCGAAACACTTCCACATGCACCGTGGGGGCAAGTGTGCTCGCCTGTCTCACAGAATTTTTCCAGTGCTGGTCACAACTCATTCGTGGCTCAGCAAATGATCTTCCTGACTCCCAGCATATATTTCTCACAAATATATTTTTCACAAATAGAATGAAATGGAAAAGATAGGATAGAGGATGTCAGAATACCTCATATACATAGGTGTACATTGTTGCATGAGGAATTTGTTAAATAAACATGTGAATGTTGTTACATAGTATGTGAACATGTAAAATGGATTTATTATTGTGGGTTGAAGTCAAAAAAGTTTGCAAGCATCTGTTATAAAGGATCAGGAAGACAACCCTGACAGTTAAGAGAGACAGTGTTAGCATCAGAATTACCAGAGTTTAAGACCCAATCCTGACATTTATGTGCTCAAGAATCTTGGGCGCATCGCTTAACCCTCCGAGCCTCATCTGTGAAATACGGAGACCGTACAAGACAGCGCCTCATGTCCAATAAACACTCACTAAATGACACCTTTAAAAAAAAATAGTCTCCTGGGAGGACCATCCAACTCTATGGGGTCCCGGGGTAGACCTGGTTGCTCCAGGCCTCGTGACCCACGCGGATCTGGAGGTAAGACTGATGGGACTTTCTAGAAAGGACTCTCCCTTTCACCCACAAGTGTGATGATTGGATCTTAAATATCTGTGCTGGGGTTTTGCAATTATACAAATTATAGCAACCCAAACTCCTTTATATAGAGGTAAAAACTGGGAGACGCATTTCTCAAAACAGGGCTGAGGTGTGAGGAAACCCAGTTTTGTGAAATTGCTGGCTAGTGCAGGCGCTGGAACATCCCTCCCAACACGGAAACCCCCAGAAAGGCTGCCATGGTCCAGGCAGAGGCTTCTCAAGGAAGGGGCAGCGTTCCTCTCTGTCTCTACAGACCCTGTGACTTCCAAGGATCTCGTGTCTTGCGGCCCCCAACCTCCGCCTGCCTTCAGCAAATACCACGTAGCCGAACCTCAGCCTCAGCCTCAGGGATGTCGCCGAGGGAACTCAGTGGCCTCCTAGAACCACTGCCCATCTCCACGCAAAACGAGAGGTTAGCGAGGAAAGGAAGCCCGAAAACATGAGAAAGCTCCCCAAATAGACTCAAGGGGCCAGGGAGAAAAACAGCAATGCAGGCAAGAAATGGAGGAAGGCAGTGACAAGAAGTGAGAAAGAAAAAAGGAAGGAAGAGGGGAAAGGAGGGAGGGAGGAAGGAAGGAAGTTGGAAAAAAGTAAATAGGAAGTCCAAAAGAAAGATCTTAAAAAGCAAACAAAAAATAAGTGGAAAACAAAAAGGAGGAAGACAAAAGAGAAAAGAAACAATGAACGAAGCTTTGAGGACAAGAGACCCTCCCACGTCCCCAGGTTTGTTCACTATTCCAACAGAAGGAGCAGTGCCCACACCGGGCAGGGCAAGGAGACAGGAAACAGGGGCTCTCTGAACTCCCAGGGTCCTTCCCTCCTCACGAGTCTGGTCCCCAGGCCCAACGCCCATCAGGGAGACACGATCCAGGCTCAAAGGCCTCTGTGGAAAGAGACTGCGGAGGCTGACAGAGTCCAGAGGGACTAGAGACAGACACACCCCATCCTGCCCTCCAGGGCCAGGTGCCATCTCAAGTGCTCCCAGCCCAGATCCCCTGCCAAGCCTAGCTCCTCCCCATCCCAGACTCCCGGTGCCTTGTCACCTCAGAGACCCCCATTCCTACCCTCCAGTGGACACACTCAAGGGAATTCAGATGATTTTTCTGGTGGCCTACAGGGCTCAGCCCCACTCCTGGCATTGCAGAGAACTCAGGGAACAGGGCCCGTAACTATCGCCTGGACTGGCATCCTGGGAGTGTCTTGGCTCATTTGCAAAGGGAACCCCCTCCTGCCTCTCTGTCTTCTGGGGCTTCCCTCTTCCCCCAGGGGCTAGAAGGGGATCTGGCCTGGCACTGACTTCCTCTCTGGACACCACTCCTGTTTCCCTGAGCTTCCAAATCACACACAAGAGACACAACACGTGCTTGGAGAATATAACCCAGCACAGTTACGTCATTTCGGAGGGGCTCAGCTTCCCCAGCCCCGCAGCCCTGTGTCCGGAATCTCCCACCTCTCACACAGAGTGTGAAGGCCTGAACACAAAGCCATGTCCTTTCAGCTAAAATGAGCAAGAACCAAGATCAAGGTTTCTCAACCCATACTCGTGCAGCAAAAAGGGCAGGGATGGCTGCAGCCAGAGCGAGAGGAGAGCAGAGGGAGCTTCCCAGGGCAAGAAACTCCAGCCTCAGAAAATCTCAAGGGTGAGGCCCCACAGACATCCCAGCTCCTGGTGGACAAGCAAAGGGTCTTACTGGGCAGGCATTCTGTCTTGAACCTGCAGGGTCTGGGGCCCAGTCAGAGAGCCGGCCAAAGGCAGGCAAGCAAGCCGCTGGTGGCCAGGCGGGGCGAGGAGGAGATGAGGCACAAGGCAGAGGCCTCTGCGGGGCCTGCTGCCTGCAACCTGGGGCCAGAGGGACTCTCTGCTGTGTGGTACCTACTGGCTGCCAAGGTCACTCCCCAAAACCTGAGATTTTCCCTTAAATTGAAGACTAGGGATCCAGGAATCAGTCTGGTGGGCCAGCCTGGCCCCAGGGGTCAGGAAGGGCCCCCTAAGTCACTCAGGTCTCCCAGAGCTGCCTTTGAGGCAGAAATACAGAGCATCTTTGAGGACTCCTGCTCTGTCTGTGGAAAGGTGGGCAAAATGTTTAAAATACAATAAAAGCAAGGCCCGGGACGCAAAGGGGTCTCACTCCCTGTTTCTTTGGGCTGTCTGTGGGGTGTCTGTGTGCAGGATTTCTGCAGAAGATAGTCCATTTTGTTAAGCCTTTGAATATTCAAATTGAAAGTATCGCGCAATCATTGATTGTCAAATCATGGGTTTCTAGAGGTTTTAAATACTTGGCATGAGGGGGGAAAAACTCAAACCTATACCCGAAGGTATAAAACATTAATTCTGTTTGTCTCCTGCTCCGGGAACCTGGGTGCAGCTGGATGCTTTGTGAAACTTTAAAAATGTTGCATCTCTGCTTCTCTCCTTGCACAGGGGCCCTGGGAGGCGCCGAGTGCCTGGAGCTCCAGCACCCAGCCAGCGCCCCAGCTGCTGCTGACCACGATGTCGGGTAACTGGGCTGCTTCTCCTGGGGTCGGGTCACGCGAGCCAGGGGCCTTGCGATCCGGGTGCCTTTCCACAGCTTTTCCTGCATAGAACAGAGAGGCACAAAGTCAGGTATTGCCAAGTAGGAGCCGGGGATCCCGAGAGGGCACGGGCCACGCTGTGGCCGCTCCCAGCTCGGGGCCTGCTCCCCAGGGCAGAGGCCCAGAGGCCGGCTTGGCCGCTGTGGACGTCCGCGTACCCCGATCCCCCAGCCGCCCTTCCCTTGGCCACGGTTGTGACCCTGGGATGTGGCGCTGCGGACTCGGCGTGCCCAGAAGCGGCGGCGGGGGGAGCTAGAGGCTCACGGTGAGCCCGGAACGCGGGCCGCACGCGCCGCCGGCCGCGCAGGGGTGGGCGGTGGCAGCCCCTCTGCAGCCCCGGGGCCGCACCCCCTGCCCCCCGAGCCGCGAGGCGCTCGGCGAGCGCGTGTGGGCTAGACGGCACCGCCGTGAGGGCGCGGAGCCCAGGCCTGGCGGGCCAGGCGCGGGGCTCCCCGGGTCTGCGCGGCGAAGAGCGCCGCCTCCTTTCCCCGGGAGACCCCCTCGCTCCCCGGACCCGGCGCGGGGCCTCCCTGCTGCGCGGCTGCGCTCTCCGCAGTGGCCAGACGCGGCGCTGGCGGCCCTGCACTGGAGCCAGGCGCCGGGGCAGCCCGCTCGGCCGCCCGGCCGCCGGGAGCCGCGGGGCCCGGCCCCTCCCGCGCGATCGCCCCGGCGCTCACTCCAGGGTCGAGGTCAGGGCCGGAGCCGCCGGCGCTCCCGCGGCCCCCCCAGATGGCGAAAGCTCGCCGGCCCGGCCTCGCGTGGCCCAAAGCCCGCCGAGTCTCACCTGCTCACTGCGGCTCCGCCGGGTCGGCCCGGGGCTGCGGCCGCCCCGCTCCCGGCGCGCCCGGACTCCCTCCCCGCCGACCCTCCCGCGCCGCTCGGCCTCCCCGCGAGCCGGGCAGGGCGGCCAAGCCCCGCCAGCCCCGAGGGCGGCCTGCCCGCCGGCTGCACTGTCCCCGGAGGCTCGGTGCGCAGCCGAGAGCCGCCTGCACCAGAGAGGGGGGGGGGCGGCGGGAAGGGAGAGCAGGAGCGGGGGCCCGAGGAGGGAGGAGGAAAAAGATGGAGAGCGGGAAAGGCGGAGAAAGGGGGCGAGGGTGACAGGGCAGAAGAAAAGTTCGGAGGGTGGGAGTGCCCCGGGCCTGGTCCCTTCCCTGTGGTCGGTCTAGCAAGTTCCTCAGCGGCCCGAGGACAGGGCTCTCCAACGCGCACCCCCGCCCACCCTGTCCGCTGCTGTCCCCGGGGCTGGCTTCCAGACCAAGGGCATGTAGAGGTTAGAGCCTCCTCAGAAGCCTGCTTGGCCTGGTGAAGCCGGGACGCAGAGCTTCTTCCGCAAGGTGGGGGCATCACGGTGGGGTGGGCTGTCAGCGGCTCCTGCTTGCGAGGTGGGCCCCTCCCAGGCCCGTAATACCCGCTGCCACACGGCAGGCTGGTCCCAGAGCCCGAGGTTCCCCTAATTGAGCCAAGGTGGTGAGCTTCCCTAGGCTGCTGTCCACATTCCTGAGCAGAAAAACCTGTGTGCTATTGGTCTAGGGATAGGGCCTAGCCTGGGATGGGTGGCCCCACAGATACCCATAGGTTCTGTTCCCACTAAGGCCCTGAAACCTGCCCAGCTTCTCCTCATCCTTTGAAGTTGGAGGAATGTGGGGTTCCTTCCCACCTGTCTTTCAGCATTCTCTTTGCATTCTTCAAACCTAGAAACCTGGTCTCCTGCGTCATAGCCTATAACGAGGACCCCTCCCCCACATCCCAGTCTGACATCCAAACCTCCTGTTGGACCACTGACTCAGTCGCTTTTCCCCCAGAAAAACCGAAGGTGTACCAAGGTGTCCGGGTCAAGATCACAGTGAAGGAGCTGCTGCAGCAGAGAAGGGCGCACCAGGCGGCCTCAGGGGGAACCGTAAGCATCAACCCTTCCCGGGCTCCCCACCTTGCCTTCGGCCTCATTTAACCCTGTGTCTGGAAAGGTGTTGGAGGCCACACTAAGCGCCGTCACCGTCCCCAGACCTGGCCTTACTCAGCGTCTTTATAATTTTTCTGCCCCTTACCCCCCCACACCCCCCCACCGGAAGCCCCAAAGAACAGGTAGAGAATGTCCTGGGGTTCAGGATTTGGGGGGGAGCTCATCCCTCACTGATCATAGTTGAATATAAACAGCTTGTTGGCCTGGTGCTGGGAGAGGAGCCCCCAGCAGCTAAGTAGGTTGTTATGCTGGGAGGAAGACGGTGTGTGGGCCCTCACACGTGCAAAGAAAGTCTCTCCCAGAAACTCATGTCATTTTAGCGAGCCCTTCAAGGAGAGAATCTCGGTGCAAATGCCCTCTGCTTCTCATTCGTATGAAACCCAGCCTCTGGTGTCATTTATCTGTAAGTCACCAGGCATAGAAGGTTCCCAGCAGAAATGGGCCATGTGTTTGCAGAAGAGACAGCTCGGGGTGTAGAATCACCTCCTTCGAATGAAGCCTTAAGCCGGTCCTGGTTATCAGGAGGTGATGTGGGCAGTCCTAAGGGTACCCTGCCACTTTTTGTACTTTCTCAAGCAGACGGTGCTGCCACGAGTGCTCAGGGCAGCAGCAGAACCAAATAAACTAGGCGGGGTTCTCCTCCAACAGAGCGTAATTCATTGCTGAAAGCCCTTGATCGGACCTCTGCCGGTGGGTTGCTTGTGCGCCTGCGCGATGTGACAGCGGCGTCCGTATCACTAGCGTTAGGACCTGTCCCGTCTCTAGCTTCTGGCATCCTCCCTGCAATGGTTTTGGAGCCTGGTGCTGTTTGTGCGCAATGTTCGACTTTCTTGAAATGGGTCTTTGTGGGAAGAGGCAAATGATATAGGAGTGGGGAGCACAGGTTCTAGAACCAGTGGCCTGGGTTCGGATCTCAGCTCCTCCGTGGTACATGTGGATCCTGGAGCAATTACTCGGGGTCATCACCTGTGTCCGCATCTTTAAGCTGGAGACGATAGGATTTTAGGAGGGTTAGATGAATTATGGCATATAAAGCACTTGGACGAGTGCTTTCCATTTAGCAAGTGCTCCATAAATGAGAGCTGTCATTATCATGATTTGTGAAAAGCAACTAAAATTACAACCAAGAACTGAAAGCCAGCTCCCCAGTGATGTCCATTCACTCCCTTTGCTCAGAGTTTCAAGCTCAAGTGCAAGCGTGCTGTGGTTCAGCCTGTACCTACCACAACTTTTACATTCATTGGAGAAGTTAGTATGTAACTTTAGCTAACATAAAGCTTCCTTCCATTTGCAGAAGGTTTGTACAGTGGTTAAAAGATAGCACTTTTGCACACTCCTTATCTCATTTAGTTCTTATAACAACCAGGTGAGGTAGATGGATGGGGATCTGCATGCTTCTAGTCCAGCTGAAGTTCAAAGTCTTACAGTCAGTTTAAAGGCAGAGCTAAAAACATGGCCAGGTTCTTCTTAACTCTTCATGTAAAAACAAAAACACATTCCCACCTATTGGTTCCCTAAATTCATCCTTCTGGTAGTCTCAACCATCAATTCCTTCAGTTCAGAGATGGTTATAAAATTAATAAAACCAGGAACAAGAGAACTGGGAAATACCTCTGATGCAAAAAAAAAAAAAAAAAAAAAATCAGGATGTTCAAAACAAAGTATAATCTTTCATTAAGGAGCTTTGGTACATGGTAGAATTCTGCTTCAATGCACCTGGAGAAGTCCCACTTGGGCATGATGATTTTATGGCTGTTGGCCTTTCTCAGGTTTGGCCACCGTCCCCCCTTCGAGCTAACTGCAGGATTGAAAGCAAAGGATAAAACGACTTGTGTATCTGACCAGTATCCGTTTCCTGGAGCTGTGTGATTTATCTAAGTTTTTTCTGAGAGCTACTCGCCCCCCCACCACCACCCCCAAGAAATAATAAAGCAGTCCTTCTGAACCAATGCCTTTTGGGGACACGTACAGCAAGGCTCACCCTTCTTGGCTTCCTGGAAGATTATATCGGCCCAAGCGCCCTCACAGGCACAGGGAAGTAACACTGATGATTGAATCATGAGAACCAGCTGTAAAACCCCTCACTCAGAACCATCAGAAGGATCTGGGATTCTAGGAAAGCGGTAAGGGTATACGCAGCAGGCAAGGATGGCGGCTGTCAGGGGACGGTGTATGCCTGCTTCTTGGTAGAGAACCCTTGGTGTAGCAGAGATGATCTCCAATTTGTTCAGTGATCAAAGGACACCTCCAGGAAGCTTCAAGGCAAGGAGAGGGTTAATGCTATCAACTATATAAAGCAGGAAAGTATTTATCTTGATTTATTATACACAATTGTGCCCACCATTTGAAATCTTGAAGGCAATCATGAATGGAAGTCATAGATTGAAGCAAATGTCAGGTGACAAACAGTGCCAGGAGAAAGGTGTGCATGTCAGATTTTTTAATTTGATTTAAAAAAAAAACTTATTTCGGCCAGATCAGTTTGTAAACAACCCTACACACACACACACACACACACACACACACACACACACACACACATTCTTTTACCTTTAGGAGAAAGGGAAACTTGAGTTAGTATTTATGAAAGGATATACGTTACCCTTCTTTAACCATTCCCTTTTTTTTAAAAGCAGCCTGGATGTGTTTTTATAAATTGTAGACTTGGATTTTTGTGCCGTTTTGAAACCTAAGAGAAAGGTGCCTTTCTTTGTATTCTTGGGGTGAAGGAGAAAGTGAACCCATGGCTGGAGAGATAATATCGAGCAGGAGACTGTAAACAGACCTGAGGGAGATAACCTGGGTAGGCAGACACACAGACCATTCCCGGAGAGGAATGGGGTTAATGTGAGCTCAGCCATAAAGCAGATTTTTTAAAAACCCACTCCTTCCAAGTCCTTCAGCTCAAGGTGCAGCCAAATATTTGCATAAAGAGCTGGTGAAGGATTCCAGCTTCCTGGTTCATGACATTACGGCATGGATCATTTTCAAAATTAACGCCACCTCCTGCTTCAGCAGCGGCCGACAGCCCCAGAGGCACGCTATATGGGAGTAAGTATGCCTGTAATCTAAGAGAGAGAGGCGCGGTGAACTTGGCTTCCCAGCACAGATCACGGAGCAGTGCTGGTCCCTTTAAACTTTAAAGGCACCATCTGAAATTTTTTTTTTAAGTCCTAAATTACTCAGTACAATTACCAGTTCAATTGGAAGGTACAGGCTGCTTTACTTTAAATAGTTAAAAGGGATAATCTCATAAATTTCACTAAATCTCAGGTATTCGGGTAGAATAGTGAAAAAAAGCAACTCATACAGAGTTTAAAGACTGAGCATTACCTAGAATGTAGATAGGCTTCAGCTCACGGACAACAGCTTTAAGGACATATTTTCTATCGTAACATTTCATAGCTAGTAAGCATGCGTGCCTACTTTTAGCTACTCGGGATTAGCAAAGTTAGGAATTGTGTCCTTGTGGAAGAACAAATTCCTAAGCTAAGCCTCCAGAGAGTGTACGAAAATTTTGAAGAGAACGATGGACTAAGTCACAGAGGGTTGGGATTAAATAAGTTTAGCTCTTATTACTTTTAAATTAAATTGTTTAATAGAAAGGCTGTTTACTGGGCATACTCGAACTATTCCATTCCTCTGTAATCTACAAATCATTTGAATTCATTTTTATCTACACTTAAATTTAAAATTTAAGTGGGAAAATCTATTGGGGGAAAAAACCCAAGCAAACATAAAAACTGAATTGAAATAAAGTTGGTTGTATGTAATGACAGCCACCTTTTTTTAGAAAAAAGAATCTGGCTTACCTTAGAGCAGAAGGCACCAAAGTTCATGGAAATGGGAAATGTTCATGGGAAAATGTCTTCACTTTCTCCTGAGAGCACTGAGTCCATGGTCATGTTCTTGCTTTGGCAGCTGCCCGGAGGCAACGGCGTCCACCTTTCAGACCCAGCCCCACCATCTTCTGCAGGTCAGTACGACGCGTGTCACGGTTCCCTCAAAATCTCTTTCAAAATCCATCTCAGAAAAGTATCTCAGTGCTTGATTCAGGGGTAAAGATAGACACCACCATTTAATTGGAATCCAACCAATCAGAAGGGGAACCAGGCATAGTGAGTCCAGATCAAGCCCAGCAAGGCAACAAGGGCACACTTTTGTCCTTCTTTCCCAAAACGTCTATTTGCTGCTTCCTATTCTGTCCCGAGAGTTAGTTCTTTACATTTGCTCCAGTTTCTCATCGCCAAGTCATTGAACTTGACTAACAGATCGGAATCATTTTCAGAAACTTGTTGTCGTTTTTATGGGACTTTTAGATGGAATACAGGACACCCTCAGGTTCTCGAATAATGCCTTTGCTCCTGCTGATTTAGTGTCTAGCCACCGACAGGGGCTTCCCTCCCCTTCCTCCCTCTCTCCCCGGGAGGCAACTCGAACAACTGCACATTTTCTCAGCCCAGTTTGAGTAACTGTATTACCTACGCCAGCCAGCAGGTAGGTGTTTCAGGAGCTCAGACACAAGGAAACCTGTGCTTATGGTAGCTCACCCCTGAATGTGCCACTTTCTCTTAACCTTAAGGAACCTTGAGACTTCAAGAAACCCAGTGTTCTAGTGTCATCTAATGGATACACTCTAAACCTGTCTTCTCTGAGCCTTTAAGGCTGATGATCAGAAATCGAACCTATTTATAATAAAACAGAAGAGGAGTCTCGTTTTCAGAATTCTGCGTGATGGGTGGCTAATTTAACTCCGTTAGCATGTGAAAATATTTCCTAAGGACACATCTTTGCTTTTTGTACCTAATAGCAAGCATTACTGATTCACTTTACATTCTTGGTTTCTATTTTTATCATTTGTGTTGCCATTTTTATCACTCCTCAAAATTTAAGTTACTGAGAAAATATGAAAAGGTTAGCAAAGCTACAAGCCTAAATCAAGAGACTTGTTTCCCATGACCTCAGATGTTTTCCTAAAGCCTTCCTTCTGAGAGGTGAGACTTACTTGAACCACAGATAGGATGTCGATGCCTTATCGTCCAAGAAAGTAGAGTCTTGAGCCATTATTTGACTGTGACAATTAGACACAGGTTGGACTGACATTCTTTTATTTGTGCCCTGGTCATATTTACAGCCACTCTCCACATTATTAACCAGATTTGAGCAACTGGGACTCGAATTCACTAGAGCAACAAAAAACATCCAGTTTGCCTGCCTGTTTACTTTTCTAGAACTTCTTAAGCCCCGCTCCTCCCTAACATGGTAAAATATTCAGAATACAGTATTCTATTCAAAGTCATAAGTGCAACTTTTAAACAAACAAACAAAAAAGTCTCTCTTTTTCCCTTTCTCTCCTAGGGCTGTATTTGGAATCTGAACCGGTTTCTTCCACATCCAATTCCTTTCAACCCCGAGAATTTTCCAGTTGTGTTTCTTGTGAAGAAAATACAAGCTGCATCGACCAGGTGTTTGAGTCCTACCTTCAGACAGAGACACACCTGGACCCCTTGCTCAATTCCACGCAGAGCACGTCACCCTATTTCCCTGACAGCTTCCAAGCTGCCCCTTTCTGCTTTAACCAGAGCCTGGTAATTTATCTCCGTTCTTTGCAAAACCTGATTGTTGCCTCTTCTGGAGTAGTAAGGCTTTGTAAGAGGGTTTCATCATCTCATGAGAAATCATACAGACCCTGTCAACTAAGAAGTCATCCAGGAAACAGCCCAGAAGCCAATTAAAAATCAGTGGGGGTTGGAGTAACCACACATGGCAGGGGGCAAACCTTTGGGTACACACGATTATGATCTCCCAAGGCAGCTACACCCGAGTAAAGTGGTGTGTGCCCATAAAAAGATTTCCTGGCAATCTTCATTGAATGTTTTCAAACTGTAGTGAAGGCATCTGTGAATTGGAAATCATTGACTTAAGTGATGGTCCTTGGATCTTCGAGTTCTGGAAAATGACATTAAGGCTTCGTCAACACAGTACCAAACTGTCATCCCGATAAGGGGTTTTTGTTTCATTTTGGCACTGAGCTGGTCCCACTAACTGGTGTTTTGGGTCTGATATAGGCATGAGAACTCATTTGGGTCTGAGACTGCTAATAAAAAAAGAAGCCCTCATACTTCAGAGAATTTGGATTCTCTGTTCTTGGAGAACCTCCCGTGCTTGAAAATGTGATATCATTTAAACGCAGTAAGATTTCCATTAGTAGACACCAGTTGTTTGAGATGTCTTTTAGATACTCCTATAGTTTTTTAAACCGAAAAAGTAAGTTTTTTTTTTTTTAATGTACATATTTTTTTCTTTTGGTTTGTCAAAAGTCCATGTAGGTATCAGACTAAATTTTCAGGATATGAGAAATTAACTCCAAGAAAATAAACACCAGACCCCAGTCACCCAGCTCCCTTTTGGCTTCCAAAGAAGGCTTTCTCAGTAATAATTGTAGACCAGCCTAAGAGAAAGCAGAGGTACATTTCTCCTCTGGGGATAAGACTTCAGTGAGGGTAGTTGTGCATCTTGGAGTCTGCCAGCCACGGGCGCACTGAAGAGCCCAGTGGTACCTGTGTCTGGTTCGCTTTGCTCTCCACGATTAAGGTTTGAAGGAACATCCAAGGTGCCACCTGCAGCTTCTACTGTGGCCCACAGCAAGATTTGACGTGCAGGTGACTTGAAGCACGATGGGATTTTGTGGTTTAAGAACAAAGCGTCCTCTAAAGTAGGGTTACAACAAAGGAAGCCAGTGAAGCAAGGCGATTTATTGTTGGGGAAGAAAAGGGCAAATATAGACTAAGGTGTCCTGAAATCATGCAGTCAGCAAATAAAATTACTTCTGCAGCCCTGGGTTGGGCTGGGTGTTTTGTTGTGTTGCATTGTCCCCTCCCTACTGTTCTTACTCTTGAGTTAATAAATCCTCTCTATTCAGCTTTTTGAATCCTGTCTAACTGATCAAGCTCTTTGTTCCCTGGCTTTCTCTAGACCCCAGGATCGTCTTCGGATTCCTCCGCTCTGTCTGGTTCCTTAGACTACAGTTACTCGCTGGCTCAGCTACCTGCGTGCGCTCCGGAAAATTACAATTCTCCCCCTTCTCTGGACCCCAGAAACTGTGGCAATCCCTCAGAAGAGTACTCCTACTCGCACTTGCCCTCGTACACTCAGTACGACTGCTTCCCCTCCGCCGGCCCCTCGGTCTGCTACTGCACATCCTGTGAGGCAGAGCACGTGGACACCCTCAGAGTGGCGGAGTGCTTTTCCTACCCCAGCACAGACTATGTGAACTTGGCCCCCTCAGCAGCTGTGGCCAGCGAGTTCTATAAAAGGGGAACAAACTGGGACATCTGCTATAGTTAATAGCAATTGCATTACCTTGCAACACGGTGTGAGTATCTGGGTTCCTTCCGCCACACCAAATGACAACTCGAAACATGCAGCCTGTTAACAAAGTATCACAAAGCCCCGTTCCCGTGTCACATTTCCAATGTTCTGATGCTCGCTTAGGCATTAGTACGAAGTCGTCAGATCTGGTCATCGTGCCACTCCTACTTTGTATGCTTACGGTTAAAATTGTCGTAGGGAGTGTTCAGTTTTCCTTTTCTATGTAACGAACAAATTCTAATTTTTTTAACTAATAAATTTTGAATTATTAAACGTTGGCTTATTTTTTTTTAATTTTCTGATGAGAGTTTCCAGTTGCTTTGAATAATACCAATTAATTCTGGAAATCACCAATTACTTCTCAATATTTTAATCTCACTAATTCATGAATTTTAAATTACTTTAATTTGGCAAGATGCCTGGGCTGTCATAGGAATGGAGGGTAGACACAGCTGTGATGGCTGAAAGCGAGAGGCAGCCTCACCTCCAAACGAGGGTGTACATCTTGGAGCCACATCAGAGAAAGACATTTATGAATCATTATAGCTTCTTGTATCTAACATTAGTCAACAAAATGTTAATATGTCCAAAAGGCACATCTTGCCTACAGCAATATTAACCCATAGATCATTCTTTTTCATGTCCAAAGTGTTGTTTTGTAAACTTTCTGGGCAAATACTTGATCTTTTTTTCTCCTGAGAACTGCCATGCTGTTGATGGACCACAAAGTCTGGAACTTGTTGTTACCTCAGATTTCCAAATTTCCACAGTAAGTCCTTAAACATGCGCTTGTTTTTTTTTTTTACTCGTTTTTTACAGGTTGGTTGAGACCATCGACCACATTGTTCGTGACTGAATTTCAGAGTTCACTGCCTCTGATTAATCCATTTGAACGAGCCCAACCGTCGTTCAGGGTAAAGAGGAGTCACTTAAGTTACGCATGTCAGAGTATACTGTTCCATCCTATTTGCTGAGGGCATGGAAGCAGAGGACCTAATCCCTGCAGTGAGTCCCTGAAGTCTTGGGGGAGCGGGCATTTTCCATGTCCCAAACTTCCGCACAATGGCACCAATGGTACCATTGGTCCTGGCCACAGCTACCATTTTCCGAGCCCTCCCCGAGCACCAGAGTTGCCTTCGGGTTTTCTCAGTCCTCTCTCCTCTCACGCAAGCTCCACAACAACACTGATGGCAAAATCAGGAGTCTGAGACTCAGAGAAGTCAAGTCACCCACCCAGTGTTACCCAGTCAGGAAGTACCCGGGCTTGGGTCTGAAGAACACTGGAGCTGTGCTTTGTACTCACTCTCTGGAGGTGAAAAATCTGAGCCATCGTTGGTGAAAGACTGCTGTGGAACCTGTGAAATCACCACCCACCCCATTAAACTCCCACTTCCTCCTACAAACACAGGTGTGTCCCCCACACAGCCAGTCAGAGTTCTCCAGAAGGGCCGGCTGTCCACAGATATGAAGGTGCCAAGCACGAGAGCCGAGGCCCCCACTCTGGGGACTGAGGGAGAGAAGCTGACAAACCACCACCTCTGTGGGCCTTGTTCTGTCAGGAAGCACACAGGCTTTCAAAATGACATGCCTAATTGTCACCTCCCTGGGGACTCCACTAAGGCTCGGGCAAACAGAACAAGTTGCAACCTGCCTCCTGGGATAGTTGTGCCCAGGAAATAAAACAATCACTGCCTTTCTGAGATGCCAATAAAATGAAATTTTTTTAAGAGTTTCCAACTAAATGGAAACGGGCCTGGCATCGAGAAACATCTGTTGGGACAGACGGAAACCGCGGCATGCCATCTGCCCCACCCCACCCCGGCTGTCCCAAGGGACAAAGAGCAGAGAACCCAAAGATGACCAAAGCTTGACACAAAAATATCCTTTTCCTGTTGCCTTTCTTTCTTTCTTTCTTTCTTTCTTTCTTTCTTTCTTTCTTCTTTCTTTCTTCCTTCCTTCCTTTCTTTCTTTCTTTCTTTCTTTCTTTCTTTCTTTTCTTTCTTTTTTCTTTCTCTTTCTCTGCTTCTTTCTCGCACCTTCCAGATCCAGTATCTTGCAGATCTCACAGGGACTGCTTGCTCCTAGCTTCTTGTTCTTTCTTCGTATGTCCCTTAGTGTTGGCCTAAATCTAGTTTGGAAAAAGATTCAAAAAAGACTGTGACACACGGGCTAACATAGCTCACGACACCTTAAACTGGTCCGGAAGAACTGACCAGATATTTGGGCCAACAGGTCGACCGCGCAAGAGGAGGTGAATGAACACGACCCACCGGTCTCCCAGGCACTAGCTGAGCAGCACACACTGAGCAGCTCAGAGCCCTACAGCAGCAGGGAGAGCGCCACCCACAGAGCTGGCACAAGCCAGAGGGGCTCTCATCACCGTATCCCGGGGAGGCTGCAGAAAATCCAGATGCCTGTGCTTCGGAGTCAGAAAGGAGGATTCAGTAAGTCTGTGTCCAGTAGGATTTCTTTAACTCTTTATTTTGAAATTATAGGAAATTACAAAAATAATGCAATAGCCTTTATCCAGCTTCTCTCAGTGGTAACTGACCCTCAAATAACTATTGTATAATATCAATATCAGGAAGGTGATATTAGTACGATGCTAACCAGACCATGGATATCATTTTCTTTATAGCATGCATTTATATGTTGTCGGTGTCTGGAGGTTTCTTTTTTTTTTTTTTTAAGATTTTTATTTATTTATTTGACAGACAGAAACCACAAGCAGACAGAGGCAGGCAGAGAGAGGATGAAGCAGGCTCCCCACCGAGCAGAGAGCCCGATGCGGGGCTCGATCCCAGGACCCTGTGATCATGACCCGAGCCGAAGGCAGAGGCCTTAACCCACTGAGCCACCCAGGTGCCCCTGTGTAGAGGATTCTATGAATAAGCATCAGTATTTTTTTAAACTCCCCTCCCCCAGAAGAGCCTAATACACAGCCAGGGCTGAGAACCAGTGGTTTTGTCCAATCGACCCTTATCCCACCGGCGAGGAAATCGAGCCCAGAGTAGCTAAATGACTTGTCCAAGGACACCACTGTCTCTCAGCAGGGAAGGCAGTGAACTTTCTCAGTCCAAAGATCTTTACCGTATGTGCAGTTGTTACAAGTCAACAAGGTGTTATAAAAAAGAGCAGATTGTCTTAGGGTTGAAGCAAGAGAGGAAGGGGCATGCGCCTCATTTTTGAGGTCACTTTAAGGGACACACACAAAACACAACCTTGGGTAGCTCTTCCAACCTCATCAGGTTGTTGACAGGCAATTGTTTCAAAATTCCACAAAAGCATGGGTCTCGGACAACAGTCCACATCCCCCCACATTCATTATTATCATTAATGGGCTCCAACCTGAAGGGACTGAAGGGTGGGCGTCACATGGGAATTCTTCGACTTTCTCTCTGCGTGCCTCCTCCTTTCTTCGTGCTGCAAAGGGACTTTGCATGTTTGGGGACACATGCCAGACTTAAAGCCACTTCCGGCCATGCTCTCCTTCTCTTCTCATCTCTGCTTTCAGGCCCTGAGCTGGACAGGTGGGAGAGATTGCCTACTTTCTGCGGCGCTTGGTGTCTCCACTTTAGGTGTTTTTTGGCCTGAATAAGGCACAAAGATGTTTCTTCCTTTGCCCTCAGCCTGCTCCCACACGGTGAGCCTCCAACTGCTCCCCGTGTCCAATGCGGCACACTCTGCGAGCAGAAGCAGACGAGCGCTCCGGGAGGTCTCCCCGCGGCTGCTTTCAGTCTCTCTGCTGAGGGTCTTCTGTGCTACTCACAGCCAAGCTTTGTGAATGAGAAGATGAAGACGATGAGGTCTGCCCCCTGCCATTCCTCAGGGGCCAAATTAAGGAGCAAAGCTACAAGGGGCTTGCCTGCCCCTTTCGGACACTTGTCTTTTTTCTTGTGGAAATGACTGGAGAAGCGAGAGCTCCCCAGTGAACTGGAGGGGGGCCATCTGCAGAGCACGTAACTGAGCCGTCCCCTCTGGTCTGCCCTCCCATTCCACAGCAGGGGGAAGGTGCAGCCCCTTCCTGCAGCCCAAAGGGGAGGAGTAGGAGTCCAGCTTCCCAAACACTGACCCCATTATCTCCACACAAAACAGTAGAGCCCAGACTTCAGAGCCCTCGAGCCAGACAGACCTGGGTTTGAATCCTGATACCGCCACTTACTTGCTCTGTAATGTTGGACAAGGACCTCAACCTCTTTGGGCTACAATTTAGTGACCAAAACGCACAAATCACTGGGAGTCAAACCTACTCTCGTTTTTGTCCTGGGGATAACTGGTGGGATGTTGCTCTCCTTGATCACAAGAGGCTCACACCACAGGCATCATCCCAAGAAATCCAGTGACATGGCATGGCCAGGCCCTCCAAGACCTTTCCAAATGCTCCAAGTTACTGACACAAGGGCCATCCCGTCTTGGACGGAATGGGGCTTCTAGGAACATGGTCAAGGGCACAGACGTCTAGGAAGGGTCATATTCAACCCTTCGGGAAAGCCTCTCCTGCCTTTCTGGCTTTGATGTGTTCTCTGCACTTTAGGAGAAAATCATGCTTCTGCTGACATCAGTGGGTCACAACTACAGATGGGGTTGCCCAGCTACTTTGGGTCCACCAGACCACCCCTCTGCCCCTGTCTCACTTGGCCCCCATCATCAACCAACAGACTGAGTATTGTTAATTCCATTTTATAGACAAGAAAACTGAAATCCAGAGTTGGAGTCAAGTGCCCAAGTCAGTAAGTGAGAAGACCATAACTCAAGCACAATCTGTCTAATCCCACAGTTTATGTCCTCGTCCCCCAGGGGAGGTCCTAGATGCTCCTAGAGCAGAATGTTCTGAGTGGGGAGTTCGCACTGCTGACCCTGTTTCAGGTGTCCAAGGCGATGATCTCCATCCATGTTTAGCATTGTCCATCAGCAGAATGAGGACATCTTTGATTCTGGCAACAAAATGCTGAATTGGAAACATGCAGAACGGAAGAGTAACCGAGGCTTTGGTCAGATTACCAGGGCCTCTACGGGGAAGCGCTCCAGTATAGCTCCGTTTCACGTGATTCCTTGGAGCTGTTATTTTAAATGTCCTAAAATGCAGTCAGAAGGCCCCTTTAGGAAGCATTTTTGAGAAGAGCCTGGAGTCGCTCTTCCACATTCCAAAGACATTAATTGTGCAGCTACTGTGTGTAAAATGCTGCCCCAGGCTCTCTGCAGGAGGAAAGGCCATGAAGACAGCGTCCCTGTCAACAAAACCTCCCAATGCTGTGTG